TTCTTTTTAAAAGACAAACCGAATGATCTATAAGTATTCACATGACAGAATATCACATCCATCCAGGGTGAATAAAGGCTAACAGAAGAACATAGTAAAAGTAACTTTTGTTTTAATTTTACCATTTCTTTCATTATCTTTACTTTTTTGCCTCCTCCTGTCTCTCTTTAGCTGGTGATGGATTGCCACTCTTGCTGTTTTCCACTGCGCTTGGTTCGGAAGATGTTTTACCCAAGTTTTGAGAAGGATCTGTAATAAGTATATTTACATGTTGCGTTATTGTGTTACTGCTCACATGAAATTAAAGGAAATTAACAAAGGAGAAGCAGCAGTATTGCTTTACATACATTAGCACTTGACAAGAGCAAGTTTATTCTTTCAAGTATATTACGAAATAGATGAGGGGGTATGCAATCTTTGGAACTTGATATCATTAACATGCATTGCTAACGTTGTTTGATTCAACACTCAAATCATCTTCCACAACCATCATTACCTTGATCAACTATAGACTCTATACTTTCAACTCTCAGTTCAACCGAACGTCCACTATGATCACTGCCTGGCGTGCTGGGAATATCAGAGCCTGCAACAACAGAAATAAATAAATATGGCTTTATAGTATATAAGTATTACCAGGTCAATTTTAATTTTAAAATAATGCATTTTTTTGCTACTCCAATCGAATAGGATTAAAATCCTCAGGAAGAACAGGTTTTCAGAAATTCATACTGGAGAGATAAAAGTGAGCAACAGTGGCTGGGGGTTGTGTGAACATATGTATTCAACATGAATATGGCGAATTTTCTGATATTTCCACTGGAAAGTGAACAACAGTGGCTAGGGATTGTTTAAACCTAGTTATGCATGCATGAATATGGCAAGTCTAACTGGTTGACTATTCCTAACAATTATTTCCATATGAAAATCTCTCATGTTTCAAAACAATGTCAACTTTTACGAAACTAATTGCAGAATACTCACATATTTGAAGTATTTAGGATACTTGATAGCTCAAGAATAACATTTTTTTTAAAGGAATTATTTTCTAAATTTGAAGTGAGACTGTCTTATAAGAACACAGGTGCTGAGTAGGTGAATGTTGCACTGATTGAAAATTTGCTGGAAACAAAACTAAACTAAATATTGCTCATGTATGTTATTTACGTCATAACCTTCAAGTGAAAATATATTTTTTTCAAATCTGCATCCATAATATTATACCAACTTCTTCTAAAAATCCTATTGAACATCGTTCTAATATTTTTCAATATCGGATGTTGCTCAGCTGATTGAAATTGTGAAACATTGGACACTCCCTCTTGTTCCTCAGATTGTGCGAGTGAAGTTGCATCTGTATAAGAAATAGGTCAATTAATTAAAAACTATTGATAAATATATTACCCACTGATATATAACCTGCAACACCTAGGATTCAGAGAACTAGGAGACATATTTCAAATTGTTCAAGTCACTGCTGTTGAGGAAATAGCTAGGTTTCATAGTTCTAATATGCAAGTATTTCAATATAACCTCATGACTATCTATGCCTATTATATTATGCCATGTTGTACGAGGCCGAGACAACAAAGATAACTCTGATTTAAGGGATTTCTTTTCATGTGTGTTATCACTTTATCAAAATTAAAAATATCGCTTGTGTCTGTTTTGGGTGGCTTTATTCGTTGCATTATGGGGGTCAGACAAAATCGGAAAATCACGGAACCGTAACGGTAGTGTGAAAGAGTAAATACCCACAACTACTTCAGAAAAAAACACAAGTCAGCCTGGCTTGCATATCCCATATTATTCACACTCAGATACATATGCACATTATATTATGATGTGTTGTCACACCTTCCCTGTTAACAAAGTCTCAGATAAGCATTAGAGTACATTAAGACTTGAGAATTGTTGAAGTCAGTGCTGTCAAGGAAAGAGGTTTAGGAACTCCAATCTAATCATAATCCTCTTACATTGTGCCAGGCTGGTATGTGGTCACGCATTCACGCATTCACGCATTCACGCATTCACGCATTCACGCATTCACGCTAATTCACGCATAATAAACTAAATGAGTTGTCGGCTGTCGTATTTTCACTACTTGCCAGATTTTAGACTCAATTCCTATGTCAGCCATCTCACGTCCGGTAGAATGTATAAGATATGGAAACGCAAAACAAAATGTCGGATACTCACAAAAGCATTGTTTATAGTTTGTAACAAATTTTTCGAATGAACTTGATTGAATGAACCAACATAAAGAGACCGAAATAACGTTTCTAATAATACATAAATAGTGTAAATGGCATGAATAGCAGAAAAACATATATGAGGTCATATCTCAGTGAAAACCCAGCTGTGTTTACAACTGCGTGAATTCCAAGATCAATTACTCATGTCTGGTTTGGATTCAGATTGCCAGTCTTGTTTCATCGAAAATGGGAGGTAAGATACTATTCACGAAGATAAAGAAGTAGTTGATATCGCTATTCTGTTTACTAGGGCTGGCTTTGATAGAAAATTCACAAGTAAAAATTAAAAAAAAAAAAATGCTTCAACAGCCCACCATGGAGAATAGCAATATCGCTCTTTGGCAGCCTCGTGTGGAAAGAGGCCTAAAATACATTCCAGAGATAATTAAATAGTATTTCTAGCGTGATTTAACGGGGGAGAATATAATTGTTCAAATAAAAGGTGTCAAATTCCCTGACAGACTCTGGGATTCATTCTAATTGTTTAATATACTTGGTATTGGGAGGATCAGGTGGGGATTATTTGCACAACCATCTCGAGGAAAATGAAGCTAAACAAAAAAAACGTAGTCGAAATTTCATTGTTATAATTGTGGTATTTCTTTAATTACCTTCGCTTTTTGCCACCCCTTGTTTCTCTCTAGCTGGTGGTGGACTGCCACACTTGCTGCTTTCTACTGCGTTTCTTTTGGAAGAACTTTTTCCCGAGATTTGAGAAGGATCTGTAACAAGCATATTCATATGTTGCGTTATTGTGTTACTACTCGCATGAAATTAGGGAAAATGAACAAAGCAAAAATAGCAGTATTGCTTTACATACACTTGATGAGAGCATAGTGGTTCAGAAAAACATTGGCCCTAAGGAGTTTGTGAGTCTCTCTAAAGCAGAGAAGGGCAAGGTTTTTGAACCAGGGGCCAAAAATGTTGCCCACCTAGACAAGGGGCCATGTAAGTGTGGCATCAAAAGTAACATTTCATAAACAATATTTACAGTGTTACAAAGCAAAGGTAGAAAACCATATGCCCCGTGTCAAAACTAAATTTAAAACATCAAAATTCGATTTCTATTTGGTTGTGGCAGAATCAGGTGGGTCAAATTGAAAAACCCAACATGCCGGATTTGGCCCGCCCATGTCTGTTCTAGAGCAGTATTTTCCAAAGTGGGCGATATCGCCACCGGTGGGCAAAAACAATACAGAAGGGGGCGATATGGGGGTGATTTCGGGAAGCTTGCTTTTGTTCGTTGACTGGCGCATCGAGCACTTGATTACCAAATTACTGCGTGTATTCGCAGAGGAGCGAGAGGATTATTGGACGCCTTCCCGCCGTGACGTAGTTCGCGTAGCCCAGAGTCGGCACCTACAGCCAGCGGGCCAGATAGCGACAAAGCAGCGGTTTTGACAATGAATCAATTTTTATAATCTACGCTCGAGGAGTAGATTATACTGTTTACATAACAGAATCTATGGTGAGACACGTTTAGACTAAATTATATTATAACCTAACAATTTAGTAAACAGCTACTCGTTCAACGATCCTACAATTTAATTATAATTAGACAAATGGCAACACACAGAAAAGTTGATGCGTCTTGCAGGGTTTCAATAGCACAGAAAATATTCAAATAGAGCTCCTTGAGATGCAATGCAGTGAGGAAGTAAAATTCATATTCTATTTGAGAGATGTATCAGTGTTTGATTTTTATAAAAATGCATCTTCTTAAAGAAAATCTTTATTAAAATTTGACAAAAAATTCACTCGATGTTTGGAAGTACATATATGTGCAAACAATTATTTTTGAAAACATTACAAAGAACAAGCAGAGAACCAGGATTAGTGATGCCCATTTCGAAAATGTTCCAATCTTGGCTTCATTCAGTGTGCCGTCGAGAAAAGCGTTACATTACATGTCATTTGTAACTTTTTTCTCATAATTATAGGACGACTGAACTCGAGTTCACAAATTGTCGCAGTCTTCGCGCGCTGTTTGGTTCATAACTTTCAAAAAATATGTGCGGCCCACCAAGCCTTGCAGTCCTTAATTTTGGCCCGCGAGCGACAAAAGGTTGCCAACGCCTGGTAGCTGATGGTCGGTTATGCTACCCCGAGTATCAAGTTCATGAATCAGAAACAAATAAATGGCTGATTATTTCCATTGTAACCGGACTGGAGACTGTGGTACATGGTGAGGAATCGAAGATGAATTTTACTAAAGATCGTTACGATATATTTT